TCATAGCCGCTACTTGCATTAAATGCGTATTCAAACAACTTTGCACATTACTCTATTACTATGGCGAATAAATATCACTATTATGTATTATGTATAATACACCGATATGACTTACCAGAGTATAGAGAATCGTCAATGTGATTCTAAATGAATATAGCTCGACTTTTGGATTTGATTATGTGTGAATCGGAGCATTTTAATTCCTTATCTTGGTTTTTAGGATTTGTGTTTTAACTGTGTTTAATGTATTGTTAATTGTTATACATACATAAGCCTCTTTTTAGATTGAAATTATTGGTCGAAAGATTAGCGGTTGTGCGTATCGAAAATTGGAAAAACAAAAGAAGATACAGTGAAAAACATTTTTAAGAATAATTTGAAACTTGATTACATGTTCCAAAGTAAGTTCAATTTGTTTATGTAAATTTGTAATATTGAAATTGGAGTATATACTTATATTTATAAAATATGTATTATTGGTAAGACACATATATTAATAGTAGGTACCCTGTTTTTAGGAGTACAATCAGTAGGCTCTGTTCATACTGTAGCCAGTGAAATATTAAGAATTAGGTAGGTACTATATTTTATAATATAATCATGAATTCATAACATTTATTATTGTTCTTTAACTTAATTGTTTTTGAAATTAATGATATATACATTTTATAATGGTTATTAATTATTTGATTTGTTTTAGCAATGAAATTGTTGATTCAGTTAGAAGTGTGAATGCAACACTTATCGACCAATGTGCAACCATTCAAAAAGTTAAAGATTTTAATGAAACTTTAGAACGAATTGATGGAGTCTTGCACATTTTACAACCACCTAGTTCTTCAGACATTTATGTGTAAATATTTAAATCAATTTACATGTTCCTACTTTTTTATTTTGGAGGACCTATATTATACATTACCATGTAATATAATATATTTTTGTGGTTTAGTATTTTAGACAACTTTCTAATGTTTATGGTGTAATATTAGTTACCGTTATATATATTAAAAATATATATCTGTATGTAACTGTATACTCTTTTACGAGTTTCATATTTTTTTCATTGAAAATTTGTTTGGTAAAATATATCCTTTTATAACTGTTGACTATTTATTTATTATATTAATGATTTTAGGATGTTGAATCTGTGAAACCTTATTTATTAGTATAAAATTGTTTCTAATAATATTTATAACCAAAATATTAATATGTGCACAGTGTAAAAAAATAATGTTTCATAATTATTTTATTGGTTTTAGCAATTAAATTGTCGCTTCAGTAAAAATTGTGAATGTAACACTTATTGACAAATCATTAGTGCAAAGTATACTAATGAATATCTAAAATCTCAGGTCGAGAAGGAATTGAGCATTTTACAACCACCTAGTTCTTCAGATAAGCCAGAATAAGTAATTAAAAGAATAATTATAATATGCTGAATATTAATAAGAAAATGAATAATATTTGTAGATTAACTGTTTTATTTTTAATTGTATGGTTAAAATAAAATAATAATTCTGCTTCATGGATAATAAAAGAGTTCACTAGAGATTTCATATGTAGAAATGGATTTCATCAGAACTTGGACGGTCATTTTTCACATTGCAAAAGACAACACCAGTATATCGTCAAAGAATATTCAAACCTTACTATAGGTACCTAAGTAAAGAAATGTTTAAAACCATTAATTAATGGTAAAACATTTTAAAGAGACTATCTTTCTTATTCAGTTAGTACTGGTAAAATATATTGCATTGCATGTTCTTTTTTTAAAACGTCCTATTAAAATTAATCAACACGAAAATTCAATCATGCATAAAACCTGTTCATTTACGATGAAGCATCTTTCCTCTGATTTAAGAAGACTGGACTTGAAACTCACATGTAAGCTTCAAACTGAGATTGACTACTGGATAAATGTGCTCAATAGAGTTTGCTCTGTTGTTAAATCATTAGCTAGTCATGGATTATCATTTAGAGGCAAATATGACAGTTTTGAATCCTCTAGCGAAAACAATGTCAATTTTGTAATGGATATGACTCTCATTGCTGAATATGACACATTTTCATCGAAACATATCTTAAAATATGGGAAACATGGTAAAGGTCATACTTCAAATATATCATTTTTACTTATGAACAATTTATTAAAATTATAGCTGAGCAAGTTATAAGTACCATAGTAGAAGAGTTAAAATCTTCAAAATATTATTCAATTAGCATTAATTTGACACCAAATATTTCAACTGTTGACCAGTTATCTTTTGTCATAATATATGTTAATAGTATTGGAGAACCTATTGAACAGTTTTTGGGTTCATGGAAAATACTGGACACAAAGCTGAACCATTTGCAGAAGCTATTTTGTCTACATTGAACAAGTATGATATTTATATTTAATTTCTTGGAGGTCAGTCTTATGACAATGCTGCGAATATGGCTGGTGCCTATTAAGGTGTTCAAGCCAAAATTAAGTTAGTTGCACCACTTTTTAATTTTGTTCCAAGTTCTGCTTACTCTTTGAACTTGATTGGATCATGTGCTGTTAGTTGTTGCAGTGTGGCAAATAATTATTTTTCATTTGTTCAAAATCTATATGTTTTTTTTCTCATCATCAACACACTGTTGAATGAAATTGAACCAACATGCTAAATCGACTGTTAGAGCATTAATACAAATTGGACAGCTGTAAAAAATGCATTGCAGGAACTTGTAAATTGTGATAGCAAAAAACAACTTACCCGTACTAAGGGTAGTGGATTGTTACGGAACCTGAACAATTTTGAAACCCCATTTATAACATCCCTATGGTGTGATATTCTTCAAATATTTAATCACGCAAGTAAAAAATTGCAATCTACTCAATTAGATCTCGGGTCTGTTATTGAATTGTATAACTTACTGATAAAATATACAAATACATTAAGAACAATATTCAGCTCCTATGAACTAAATGGGGCTAAAGATAAATTTGAAGAAAATTGTCCTCACTTTTGAAAATAAAAACCGAAAAAAAAAAACAAACTGATGAATCAAATATGCTCAATACTGTTTATTGGCTATTAATTCTTTAAAATAAATACTTTTTATTCCATCTGTGATAATTTGTTAAATGATCTAATAAAAAAAAAAAAAAATAGACCTATAGTAATTTAATTTCAAAATATTTATTTAATTTAAAACTACAAGTATACACTCCATCTGAAATAAGAAAAGCTGCTAAGAAATTAAGTATACTATATATCGAAGAATTGGTTGAATTTTTGGATAATGAATGTATACATTTTCAGTGTTTATAAAAGACATTAGAAGAGCCACCAACAACTTTACTTAAAATGATTTTATTTTTAAAAATATTTGATCTTACAACAACTTTTCCGTACATGAATGTAACATTGAATATATTTTTATGCACATCGCTCTTAAATTAGTCAACTAGAAAGTCGTTCTATGTTTTAAAACATATAAGAAAAACTACCTGTGGTATATTATGTAATCTGATAGACTTAACATCTTGGCTGTCCTTGCTATTGAATCATCTATAACAAATAAACTAGATTTGAGTGAGACAGTAAAAATATTTGCTCAGAAACAGGCAAGAAGAAAACATGTATTATTATAAACTACATTTTTACAATAAATAAAATATATTTTATAATATGTTACATTCTTATTATGTTATGATTATTAATAAACAATAAATGTGTTGAATCGTCATTTTTTAATCTATATGTATAATTCTGGACTTTTTATATGATATATATATTTCATATAATATAATACATTTATTTATATAATATTTATTATATAGTACATATATAAGTAGGTACTTACTACTAAATATATTATGTAGTATAAGTAATTATGTATATTTAATATTTCCATTGCAAGTGGTATAAAAATAAGCACATAAATTAATGATACCAATCATTATATTATTTTACACAATTTACAGAAATTTAAGTAAAGTTCCATAATTGTATGTATTTATAATTTTTATTTGTATCATTTTCTGTCACAAAACGGACTGATTAATATAATTACAGTATTTCATACATTCAACACATTTATAACCAAATCTTGATGTATGGTTGCTTACATGGATAAATTAAATAACTTTATAAATCCTACATCTCCAACTTTCCACTTACAACAGTACGGTGCAGTATCGGTCATTTTTATTTGTTTTTTTTTTCAATTCTGAGCAAATAGAGAACTTAACTACCTATATTTATAAAATACTAATATCCCATAGACCTTTCCCCTCCGTCTATAGAGGTATATATAATTGAATAAAATTCCTCTAACAGGTCCCTTAAGTTCCTAACCAAGTCTGCCTATCATATTATATAATCAATGCTTATATTTTATAATATTGTTATCTATCTCAGTATCTTAATTCGTGATGAAATCTGATAACTCAGTAATTCTGTACACAAAACATTGCACAAATGCACATTTAGCGTTTTCGAACCTGCTTTATTACTTTTGTAGTTTCACTAAGAATTTGATTCTGTATTGAAATATTACTTACGCGGAATTATCCTGCATTATATTTTATTTAAAACAATTTCTGTTTTTCATTTTTCGATTAAAAATGCCCAGCTGTATTTGTTACAGCTCAAGAAATGCTAATTCAAAAAATGCAAACATCTCTTTTCATAAGTAAGTACCATCAGTAACAAACTAATAACAGTTATTTGACTATGAGCAGCTTTATTAATATGACTTTTACATTAAAATAATAATACATTTTTATTTTAGGTTTTCGGTAAAAAAACATATAGGCAAAATGGTTAAATTTTGTAAAAAAAAAAATAGACCAAACATCACAGATATTACTAAAAACAGTTTGATCTGTTCAACTCATTTTGACTCTGCATGTTTTATTTTTAATTAAAACAAATAAAAGTAGTATTTCAAAACTGCTGTTCCAACTTGTATTAAGAGTAAACAATGTAAGTATTGGTGTTATGTGCAATACTAAAAAATAACTAAACATTTAGAATTCTTTTACTGAATTATTCATTTTTAGGCTAAACCAGATAACTCAGAATTAATTAAATTTGTTCTGCCTGAAGTTTCAAATTCTAATGCACATAGTACAAGTGACAACCGTGTTTGGTTTTAAATAATTGTAGTCAAGGTAGATAAAAATATTTTATTTTTATTGTTTCACATATTTATAAATTGTTCTTATTTCCTTTAAATAATAATTATTACCTCTTTTATTTTAGTTACCTCTATATGAATCAAATGTCGAAGAAACTTTGAATATTTCGTTGATATCTGTAGATGCCCAAGACACTTCGAAAAATGAAAATGTGTATGTTTAGATACCTATCTAATTACTGAAATATTTTTAAAAATATATATAATTTTGTTTCTTACAAAGTTATAAAAAATAAAAATAAAAGTAATTTATAAAAAAAACAAAGGACACATACTTCAGAGGGTAAATTGACGTTTTGTCCCTGCCTTTCCGCCCCCATAAGAAAACAAGTCCAAGAACAAGTTTTGTCGTTGATTTTTTTGACGGGGGTGAAATGTATGCGATTTATTTTGCAAGTGGTGCTCCTTTTGTAGGTGGGAAGGTATGATACAGATGACAATTTAATGTATATCTGTAAGCAACGATAAACCATTGCTAATGAAAAAAAATTCTGAGCGAGGTTCAGTTAATAATGTTGTTTTGTCAGCAATATATACATATTATGATCAAATAATGACAACAATGAGAGGTTTCCTTGACTACAATGATTGTTTAAAAAGGGATTTTCAATATAATAAAACCTTAATAATAACAAAAAAAATGAATAAAAACGGTTGCCAATGACAACTTTATTTTTAATCTTGCGATCTTTTTTAACCTAAGAACGAGGTTTTCTTCTGAATCTTAAATATTAATGAGAATTTTTAAAAAAATGACTCCTCTAAAGTACGACCTAGAGAAAATTTTCTTTCAGAATAGGTACTATACTTGAAAATCAAAGTATGCTTTATGGTAGAAAGTGTTCACCTAAAAAAAATAATAATAATAAAATATATCATTGAAAAACCAATACATTCTTCGCTCCACTTAGAATCTAAAAAAACAATCAATATATTATATAATATATGATAATAAATACCTGTGTATTAAATTTAAATAGTTAATATAAATAAATTAGGTATAATAATTTTTATTAACGCATAAATAAACAAAAAAATAAATGAATGCATTGCCTAGAGTATTAAGAAATGTGTATTCTAGACGGGTATCAAATTAAAAATTCATCTTCAGGTTAAATCATTAAGTCAAAAAGTAAAATGCGAGTTAATATGAAAAAATAAATGAAGGAATACGATATATAAAAAATATTATACAATTTGGTTGTTTTACATAGAAATCTTTTATTTAAATAGGAGAGATTATTTAAAATGAGTTATTATAGACATAGATATGTTAAGAAATATAAATTATTTGGTTATTATTTAGTATCTAAAATTTTTTTATATATGAGATGTAATTTTTAAATTCGGTTTGAACATTTAAAATATTGTTAAAATTATTTTTCTTATTTCTTATTCCTTAGTATGTGTAATTCTTTTAAAACTATGTTTGATTAAATTATTATTAGTCTTAGAAGTGATTTTTGCATTATTTGTATTATTGTTCAGAATTTTAGCAAATTTGTTTGATATATTATTTTGATATTTCATACTACAATAGTAAACAACATTATTTAGTAAATTATGTTTTATTTTTTTCTTTAATACGTTTACGCATTTTTTTAATAGTATTGAAATTGAAATTGTTTCTATGACTAATTATGCCTAAAACACTGCCCCTAATTCAAATTTCAAATTTGTTCTCTATGTATTCCTTCATCTATTCATATTCAGGCGCGTTTTACTTTTTGATTGTGATTTTACCTTACAGTGTATTTTTAATTTGAAACTGTTCATAGGATACACATATCATGTGCTCCAGACGGAGCATTTATTTATNATGTTTTATTTTTTTCTTTAATACGTTTACGCATTTTTTTAATAGTATTGAAATTGAAATTGTTTCTATGACTAATTATGTCTAAAACAATGCCTCTAATTCAAATTTCAAATTTTTTCTCTATGTATTCCTTCATCTATATGTTCATATACAGGCGCGTTTTACTTTTTAATTGTGATTTTACCTTACAGTGTATTTTTAATTTGAAACTGTTCATAGGATACACATATCATGTGCTCCAGACGGAGCATTTATTTATTTATACATTTATTT